CACACACACGCACACACACTCACACACACACTCACACGCACACACACTCACACACACACGCACACTCACACACTCACACACACACACACACACGCACACACACGCGCGCACACACACCCTCCAGCTAGCTCTCCCCGGGCGCGGTTCCTTAGCCTAAGGGTACCATTTGGCCTTAAAGCAAATTACTTAAACCCGACGGGGAGCTGATGGCAAAGAGAGGACCCTTGGGACCAGGACCGGAATCGGGGATGCCTACGAAGCGACAGAGCGTGGCCCCCGGCTCGGCCGCTGGAGGAGGGAGGGCCTCAGGTGGTGGCCCGGCGAGCGCCCAGCATCTCTGCACACGTTAGCAATCAAGTTAATTGAATTCATTGGCGTTTAGAACCGGCCTCCAGCTCGGAGAGGGCTTTGAATGGCCAATCTCTCTCTCCCCTCCCCGCCTCCCGCCGGCCCGCCCTCCGGGCTCCCCAGTGCGCACCTCCCTCTCCACTCCCCTCACCCCTCACCCCCTCCTCCGCCCTATTAAAACACCCACCAGCTCACTAGTTAAGACCCCCTTAAGTTGGAGGAGGCAGAAAGGCAACAACTGCGAGGAAGGAGAAGTCAGGACGTCTGGAAAGAATTACCCAGCCCTGGCTTCCAGCAGCCCATTGAACCGGGGACTTGAACCAGCCCCAGCCAAAGACTCTCCTGATTCTGCGCTTCCTGGGTTCTGCTGAGGCTTCACCGGTCTTTTTATATATATATATACGGAAAAGAGAAGAGACTTTCCGATATCAGGGGAGGAAGACTGGAACAAAAAGAATAATAATAAAAATTTAAAAATTAATTTATTTTCAAAGTACCAATTTTTCTTTTAAGAACCAGGAGACTTAAGCGCAACGGAAATATCAGAGAATAGTGGTGTTTTTACTTTTCTTTTTCTTTTAAAGTGGGAGAGAAGCAAACCTTTAAGACTCCCCCACCTTTCTTTAAATGTTGTTTTTAAATTTTTTATTTTTTTTGGCCGGCCGTCTCAAATTCATCTGATCTCTTATTACCTCAATTTTGGAAACTGCCCGCCACCGGCCCTCCGGGACCACACAGACAGGCTGAGGACAACTTTATGACCAAGAGCTGAACAAGGTACGTTCCCCTGGCGCGGCTGGGTGAAGGCGGAGGGTCCTGGAAAAGGGCAGGGGGAGGGAAGAAATGATCCACATCAGTGTTAAAAAAAAAA